CAAAAAAAAAAAAAAAAAAAGTTTAATCAAAAGTAAAATGCACAAACTATAAAGTTTACCAATTAGGTGAGTTTTGAAGAAGACAGACACCTGTATAGCCCAGTCTCAAGTTACACCAGATAACATTATTCCAGGCAGGTGCTGTGCTGCTGAGCTATATCTCTGGCCTGGTAACATTATTCTAGAATGTTCCCTTCATACTCTTCTTTAGTTGATCCACTAATCATTACACCAAAGGCTACCACTCTTTTGCTGTAAATTAGATGGGCCTATTTGTGAATTTGAATCACACAATTTGGGCTCTTGTGTAAACCTTTCTTGATCAAGTATATTGTTCTTGAGATTCATCCATGGTATTTTGTGTATCAGGTTACTCCTCTTTGCTACTGAGGAATATTCCATTCTCCAAATATTCTACCTTTTATTTAAACATTCTCCTGTTGATAAACACCCAGAATGTTGTAAGTCATTGGCTACTATTAGTAAAGCTTTCATACAAACAAGAAGGCTTGTATAAGTATTGGTCATAGGGTTGGCATATGTTTAGTTTTTTTTTTTTTTTTTTTCTGGTACCGGGAGTCAAACTGACCACCTTGCGCTTGCCAGACAGGCACTGTGCCGCTGAGCTAAATCCCCAGCCCCCATATGTTTAGTTTGGTTAAGAAACTACTAGAACTTTTCTCAAAGTGGTTGTACCATTTTACAGTCCCACTAGCTGTGTATGAAAGTTCCGCAGTATCTTTGCCAACATTTGGTGTCCTCAGACTTTTCAATTATGACTATTCTGGTGGTTATGGAGTGTTATCATAGTTTTCAGTTTGCATCCCAAGAGTTACTGTTGATATTCAGTATCTTTTCACATGTTCATTGGCTTTATTTTATCTTGTTCTGTGGCTGGAAGAAATTTCAACTAATAAATTTATTTTTTCTTTGTTGTTTGTGTCCTTGTGTGTTATATAAGAATTCTTTCCCTGTCTCATGGTTACAGAGATTTTCTTCTAGGAGTTTTATGGTTTTAGCTATTACAGTTAGATATCTGGTCTCTTTTGAGTTACTTTTTATTTACTGTGAAAGGTAGGGTTAAAAAATTTTAATATGTGTCTTAGTTACTTTTCTTGTAGCCGAGACAAATACCTGACACCCAAAGTTAGAGGAGGAAGGGTTTATTGTAACTCATGGTTTGTAGAGGTTTTACTCTACAGTTGGCTGGCACCAAGGCAGGGTGGCAGGGCAAAGGGACATTGTAGAGAAACAGGTCATGGTAGGCAGAAGGCATTAAAACAGTGAAGCAGTAGCAGCAGCAGCAGCAACAGCAGCAGCCTGTCTCTCCCTTTAATCCCTCACAGGCTACCTGCCTTCTGGTTGGTGTCAACCATGCTTAGAGCACACCTTCTCATTACTCATACCCAGACACTCGTGAACTAATTTAGTAATCACACTCTTAACCTCAGCATCACATACTTAACCCCAGCATCACACACCCTAGATCCACCCACTTCTGCAAAGACCCACTTACGACTGCATGAGGCTTTGGGTGACATCTAGACACAAGCCATAAGGATATGAAAAGAATTTTTAATATGGTTATCTAATAGCATCTATACAACAGTGTACTTCCATTTTCTCCCTCCCATCCTCTGTACCTTTTACATAGACTACATACTATCTGATAGTTTGTGGTATTGAAGCATTGACAAGGTAACTATCTTTGAAAATTTTTTTTCAATGGAGAAACCTTTTTGTATGTAAATACCATTTCTGGCACTCTGTATTTCTGTGTATAGATTTAATTTTCCACCTGGTATCATCTTTCTTACTACAAAAGAATTCTCTTCACCATTTCTTATAATTCAGATCTGATGGTGATAAATTATTTTATTACTTACGTATCTCATGTTTTTATCTCATTCTAATTGATTGTTTTCAAAACATAAGTTATCTGAAAACATGTTGTTAAGCCCAATATGGCACATCTGTAATCCCAGCTACTCCAGAGGCTGAGGCAGGGGATTGCATATTCAAGGCCAGCCAGGGCAATTTGTGAGACTGTCAAAATAAAAAGAGACTGGAGATGTATCTCAGTGCTCCCTAGGTTCAACAGCCAGTGCCAAACAAACAAAAGAACATTTACTGATTTCTGATTCCTTTGTAGTCAGAGCATATACTCTGTTATTTGAATCCTTTTTGAGACTTATTTTACCCAGTATGTGTTCTGTCATGGTAACACTCTATGCATGCTTGAATTTTTTTTTTCAAGTCACATTGGTTTATAATGTTGTTTAAATTCTTGGTATATTCACTGATCTTGATTACTTCAAGTAATTGTTGCAGTGTGTAATACATGTTTTAATTTTCTTTTGCTGCTTTTAAGATTTTTCTTTATGTGCTGGTTTCTTATAATTGATTATGATGTACTTACTCTACACACTTACTGCAGTTTTCCTTCATTGTTGGTTTTTCCCAGTTTAGGATTTATCAGGCATTTTGGATCTATGTTTCATTGAAAGGTGTTTACTTCTGGGGCATATTTTCTTGAAGTTTTTGGGGATTTTTTGTTTTGAGACAGGATCTTGCTATGTAGCCCAGACCAACCTTGAACTCGCTATGTAGCCTAGGCTGCTTTGAATTTGCAGCCTTCCTGTTTCAGCCTCCAGAGTGCTGCAATTACAGGCAAGCGCCACTATATCTTGCTTTTTCAAGTATTTTTTCTTCCCTTTTCTCTCTTTCTGAAACGGTTACACACTGGTCACTGACTCATTTATTCTTTCTCTTTTTTTCCTCTTTGCATTTCACTTTTGACAGTTTATTTTGCTATTCCTTCAACTTTTCTAATCTTATGGAGTGTCCAGTTGGTCAATCTTGCTCAATTTTTCATTTTAGATGTTGTTTTTCATCTCTAGAAGTTGTAGTTGATAATTTTGAATATCTTCCATTTTGCTCATTCTATTTGTTTTCCTTTATTTTCTTGAAAGTATCTACTATATAAAATCCTTTTCTGTAAATCCTATATTGTTTACCATTTATAGAGCTATAAATAGTATTTCTTCAAATATTTGAGCAAATATATGTGTTTGTATTGTTTTTCACATCAGTTATGGGCCTTGTATTCCTGGTTTGTTGTACACCTATGAATTTTCTCATACAGTATGGAAAATGGGTGTTGTGAATTTTATGTCAAATTCTAGATTTTGTTGTCTTCCTTTAAAAAAGTGTGGACTGTATTCCTGGCAGAAATTAAAATACAGCACTTGGAAATCTCTTTTTGTCTTTCATAGCTTGTTTTTAAGCTTTTTGTAAATAGATTTACAGTAGTGTATAGTAATAGACTTAAGCTTAATATGAAAAAGAATCTCCCTGCCTGGTGGCACACACCTGGAATCCCAGCACTCAGGAGGCTGAGGGAGGAGGATTGTTTTGAGTTCAAGGCCAACCTGAACTGCATAGTGAGACCCTGTCTCAAAAAGAAAAAAAAAGCATCATTCACTTGGCATCTCTTTAACATATCTCCCATTTCAACACAATTCTATCTTCTGGAATATATTTCATCAACTCTGACATCATTTGGGCCTTTGTGAGCTGACAGAAGTGCTGTTTGTTTCTTTAGTAGTTCTGTTACAGTTGAATGGGCCAGTGATAGTCCAGGTCCTTGTATACGATGAGGAAAGAATTGCCAAGTGTACACCCAGTAGTAAATACCTGTAGTAAGTAGCTGCATTTATTGAAGATCACCGGAAAGGTAGCAGTAACAACAGAAAAAAAAGAAAAAGGGCTCTTAACTTAGGCTTTCAGAATTTAAAGGGCAGACACCTGTGCTTTCTGGTGCCTCCCACTTAATCTCCCTTGGCACCAGTACTCTGGTGCCTAAGGGACAGCGATCTCCTAGGCTTATTTTGTACCTCTTTTAGGATAGTGGAAACAGGAATGACTGATGGGTACTGTTTAGGGTTACATGGAGGGAAGGGAATGACTCACTCAGCTCCTTTGTTTCTAACTGTAGTAGTTCTTGAGCTTTCTTTTTTTATATAGTTTTGAAACATATTTTTGTCACTCCTCATAGTGTTACTGGGTGGCTTCTTATAAAAGTGGCTCACCACTGAGTTTGGAGTTGTTCGCCTTTCCTTCTGGAGCTAGATTCTATATTTGTCTCCTTTTGAACCAGTGAAATGAGCAAAAAGCAGTAGCAAAATGTATTTTAAAAAGTAAAAGTGAAGAATGAGGAAGAAACTGGCTCTGCAGAGCAAGCTTGGGCCAATGAAAAATCAAGATAAAAGAACACCCCGGAGGACACAGGGTGGGGTATGGTGAGGAAAGCCACTATAGTAAGCTCTGTGTCCTTTCATATTGTCCGAATTTTGAGGAAACCCATGAGAACTTATATATATGGGTCCTGAGAGGTAGTGCTGGGATCCCACCTCAGGCTGATGTCGAGTCCAGGCCATCCTACTGAAAACCGGCTCAAGTTCTCAGGGAGAAGTCCACAAGCAGGGCTTTGGGAGCTGTTCTCCACCTGTGTCGCAGGATCTTGTAATTAACAAGTCAAGCCTACTTTCTTAGCCAGTTTTGCCATGCCCTACTCGCCTATCTCAATAGGATTTGCTGTTTAAAATAACTTTAGGGGCTGGGGATTTAGCTCAGCGGCAAAAACGCCTGCTTGGCATGCGCAAGGTCGTGAGTTCGGTTCCCGGTACCGGAGAAAAACCAAAAAAATAAAATAAAATAACTTTATGTTGTAATGTGTAATGAATGAGCCCTAGAGGGACAGAGAAGTAATATTTCTTTTTTTCCCTTTTAAAAGATTTATTTATTTATTTTAAAAGAGATTCATTTATTCATCTATTTATTTATTTTTTTGGTGGTACTGTGAATCAAACTCATGACCTCGTGCTTGCCAGGCAGGCACTATGCCTCTGAGCTATATCCCCAGCCTAAAAAATTTTTTAGTACTAACGTTTAAATATATGAATTCTATTGGAGTTTTGATCATAATTGGGTTAACTCTCTATAACAGTTTTGGGAGTATGGCCATTTTCACTGTATTGGTTCCTCCTACCCAAGAGCAAGGGATATCTTTCCATTTTCTAATATCTGCTTCAGTCTCCTTTTTCAGAGTACTGTAGTTTTCAATGTGTAGAGGTCTTTTACATATAGAGGTCTTTTACATCCTTCATTAGCTTGATTCCTAGGTATTTCCTTTTTTTGGATGCTATCGTGAAAAGTGTTATTTCCCTAATTCCTCAGTGAGTTTGTTGTTCGTGTACAGGAAGGCTATTGATTTTTGAGTGTTTACTTTGTATCCAGCTACACTACTCTGAATTTGCTTATTCTAGCAGTTTTTTACTGGAGTTTTTGGGGTCTTCCATGTAGAGTATCATGTCATCTGCAAATAGTGATTGTCCCACCCCCTTGACCCCTGGGTTTGCCTTTGGTGATATTTGGGATTGCATCTTGCTTAAGTGTCTCTTCATTTTCTTTTACTTCTTTTTTGTTTGTTTGTTTAATTCCTGGGGTGATCTTTGTAAAAGCTGTTTAGAACAATTATTATTTTGGCTATAGTGGGACCGATAACAATAGCATAAAACACAGCCTAAAAATGACAAACTAAAGTAACCATTAATTTTCCACCTTTAACCATATGAACTAGATTTGTGGTTATATAACAAAGTCTAAAACAAAGCAGAAAATTGTATGCAGTATACAGGTCCTTGGTATGTCAGTGTTGCCCTCAGGGGTTAAGATTTAACATGGGTCAGGGAGAAAATAGAGAAGCGGAAGATGAGGAAGAGATTAGAAGGCTGGAGGACAAAGGGGGTTTATGCTAACTTTGGGAAACTGGTGCAGATTGGAGGAAGAAGAGGAAGAAATAAAAAGAGGAAATGAACAGAACCACAACCACAAAGTGGGTAGACGCTATGTTCACACTCATATATATATATATATATATATATATATATATTCAAAAAATACAAGTTCAAACAATGGAGAAAGGAAAGAAAAAAACCACAAACCTAAACAAAAGAAAAAAACAACAAAACACTCCCAAAAAAGGGCAAAACTACAACAACAACAAAAAGAGAGAGGAAAACAAAAAAACAGACAAAAGACAACAACAGCAAAAGCCCACTTCCAGGTTTGTCTCTGCTGTCACTGGTAAACAATGTATGGAGACAGTATCCTGATCCGTGCTGATTTATCCCACAGAGCCAGCGAGCCTGTACCCTCTGGTGGCTTGTAGAGGTCAGTGCAGCTTCCACAGGCCTGAGCCTAGCTGGGAGCTGCTAGATGGAGCCAGCAGCTGCTGAGTTCTGAGCTCTATTGGTCTCTTTCCAAAATGGTTCCCCACCAATCTTGAGTAGGACAGCTGAGCCCTCGGCACTCACCAGCAGTTAGTGCAGTCCTTCACATCCGCTGCTCCCCTCCACTTCTGTGTCTCTCCATGGAGGCCTCTAGGGTCCCCAGAACTCGCTGTGTCAGCAGGTTTGGACCCCTCCTCTCCTGCACTGTTTCCCTTCTCGGTGAGAGGGGCCCTTTGGTACCTCCTCCTCCGCTGAAGTTTCTCTCTTCACACTCCGTGGGCTTCAGTTCCTGCCTCAGTTCCTTGCTGGGTCTGGGGTAACTCACCACCCTCCTTCTTAACTTCCCCACATTGTTATATTCCACCATTTGGATGGCAGCTCTCGAGAGGTTCATTCTCTGCTCTTTAGCACTCTGCCATCTTGCCACTGATCTCTGAAATACTATATTTCTACCAAATTATCTCCTTTTATCTTTTGCTTTTCTCGTAATAGCTCCCAACTCTTCCACTAAGTCATTCATTTCTCTGATCTTTGGGATGTATTTGGCTTCTCCTGTAATTACCAAGGTCCTATAATTTCACCTTTTCAGTGCTTTGCATGTGTTTTCCTTCATTTTGTTTTCTACTATATCTATTCATTCATTTAAGCAATGCTTGTGCGGTGGTGCGTGCCTGTAATTCCAGCACTCTGGGCAGCAGAGGCAGAACGATCATAAGTTTTAGGCTAAACTGGTCAATTTAGTGAGAACCTCTCTCAACATTAAAATGGGCTAGGAGGAGCTGGAGATATATCTCAGCAGCATAGCGCCTGCCTGGCAAGTGCAAGGTCCTGAGTTCGATTCTTGATAGCAAAAAAAAAAAAAAAAAAAAGGGTGGTGGCTAGGGATGTAGCCTAATGCAAAGGCCCTGGGTTGATTCCCAAATATTGGGGGAGGGAAGTGTTTAAAATTTCATGTGTGTTAAGATTTTTTCCCCCAAGAAGAAGGAAATATATGGGACGGTTTCCAGGTGATACAGAGCATAGTGCCCAGCACAGAAGCCTCAGCAAGCATTTATGAAATAACTCAGGAATATATTAAGTTGGACCATATGAATGTGTCATTTTTAGAAGTCAAAATGGCAAAATGTTAATGATTATGTTCAACAAATACATTAATAGTAATTATACCAACCAATATGAATGAGAAAAATAAATACTGTTTCTCCTTAGTATTGTATCAATGCTGTATAGTACTTTTCTTCCTTTAGACTATAAAACTTGACTTTTTCTTTTCTTTGCCTACCAGGAAACACGAAATTACCCAGAATCATATCCACAGCTGCCAAGGGATGAAACAGTGGAGAATCCTCATCTCCAGAAGCACATTTTGGAATTAGCATCCATTCTGGATGTTCGAAATGTCTTCTTTGAAAATACCATAGATGACTATTAAATCACAAATCCTCTTGTTGAAACAATTTTTCATTTTCCACAGATTTTAAATGGTGCAGTTTTCTAATGTGACAACAGACACATAGTGTGTTACTTAGTTTTTATTTTTTAATTTAGGACCACCATTTTAAAGGCAAACTGAAAAAATGTTCAAACTTTTAGGGTAACTTTTAAAATGCAGTCTTTCAAGTCTTTTAAAAACTCAATTTTTATTTTTGGGTTTTGATTACCTCCAACATCCAATCCTATACTTAAATAGTCACCATTCTCACCCTGAGAAGAGTAAATTGTGTATTTTTGTATAATGAGAAAAATACAACTCCTATACTTGGACCTTAAATATCTGGATTTGGAAAATAGGTAATTGTTCATAATGATGAAACTGGCCAGCGTGGACTACTGAAAAGCAAGAACAGAGTCCTTCTGTAGTATTTCTTTTCATTCCAAATCAGTTGGTAAAAAAATGTGTGCTTCTTTGAAGTGTGATCCAAGCAGTTCCTAAAATCACTGAATACCTTTAAATACTGTCAAAAATTCAAAAGTGGTTGAGGATTGATTTTCATATAAAAGCTAACTCTTTTAGTTGGGACTTGTGATAAGTGAGTATTGTGTTATGAGATTTGTTTGCATATTTTGTTTTCTATTTAGTCTTTTCTGGAAATGAAAAAAAAACCCAAGTTTTAAATATTTCAGTAAAAAGTCAGATTATTGATTTCCTAATACAGTGTCTTCAGGAGGAATTCTACTTAATAACTGAATTTATAAGGTCAAATTTAAAAACTGTCTGGATTGATATCTGTGGCATATCGTATGGTTTCTTTTTGCCTAGTTCAAATTTATAAGACCTCAATATCAGAGAGAATAATTTTGGTTGAGGGTAACCAACATTATGAAACTTAAAGCAGAAGTTGATTTTGCATTGAGAATTTAGAAATAAGATTTGTTTAAAATTCCTGTACTTTATATTCATGCACCAGTTTTCTGTGATTTTTTTTTTAAAGTTTTCTATTATTTTAAGTAGGATTCAGAATATGTTTTTGTGTTTTATCGTTTCATCTCCTTCATAGCTTCACAGGCACTAGGTATGAAGGGTTTTCCCCCATCTTTTAATTGCACAGCATTCAAGTTCAGAAATCTGTCAGTCAATAGGCCTTCTTCCTAATTTTCTGCATGGGCTCAGATTCTACCTTTGGCAGTCCCAGGGGATATGAGTTGCTTCTAGTACCTCTTTTCTATGGTCTCTAGGGAAGTTTTACTGTAATGTTTGGCTTTCATTTCTTGCCTAGAGAATAATTTGGGTCTGAGTTATTCCTGTACTAGCTTCAGTCTGCTGATTTTTCATCTGAAGTCTTGAAATTAATGCTCTTAGGTTTAGGGCTCTTAGAGTGTTTCTTCACTTTTTAAAAATTATTATCATCATTTGCTCTTTCAAATGGTATTTCAGAAAGCTTGAAAGAAGCCTGTAAAGATTTCCTTTGCAAGTAGCTTGTTTTTCATTTTCCAATGGATTGCTTTCCTTTTCTTCAGTATCTTAACAAATTTCTTAGGTTTCCTTTCCTAACTGTCCACCTGACTGCAGTTATCTGGCATCCTCAGTTATCTGGCCTCCTAATCCAGTTCCCCTAAAGTTCTCTGCCAATTATTCTCCTACCAACACATTTTCCTGTTTTCTGATGTTTAAAATAATATTTATTATGCTGCGCTTTTATCCTCACCTGCTAAGCATGAGAAACACTGGTCTGAGAGCTAGGAGACCTGAGTTGTAACCTCGGATTTCCTAGGAAGTTCCCTTTGACAAATGTCTTCATGTTCTGCTTTTTAGTACTTCCATGTGTAACATGAAACAGTTGACCCAAGGTCTTTTCCAGTTCTGTGAGTGTACAACTTGGACTCATGGTTCCAAAGATTATGATTCCTCCATCTTACCACAGAAAACTAGTTTCTGTATTTTTAGTAGACACAGCATTCTTGAGATCATGATTACTTAAGTGACTGTTCAAGAAAATATCTGGGTAGGGCTGGGGATATAGTTCAGCAGCAAAAGTGCCTGCCTGGCAAGAGCAAGGTCCTGAGTTCAATTCCCAGTACCAAAAAAAAAAGAAAATACCTGGGTATCACTTAGCTGTTTGAGAGACTATTTCAGAGGTAGATGGTCATGCAGAAATTAAGAGCTTTCACAATTAGAAACATGCCTATTTTAGAACTCACAATAGGAACTCTGCTTATGACATGGGCCCTTGAGCTGATAGTGAAATTCCTTACCAGTAGGTAGAGATCTAAAGTGGACTAACACCATCTTCAATGCTTGAAAATTCTAAACGACTATTGTTTTATCATGCCTTCAGAAAAAATGTTGATTGCACAGCCACTCTACTCCACATGTTTTCTGAGCATCGAGAAGCAAGGTAGACTGAAAAATTCTAGTCTTTAGAAGCTTACATTCTCAAAGAGAGAGTCAGGCAATAAATAGAAATTATTAGATTTATGTTAAAAAGTGATAAACAGGATGGAGAAATTTTGGGGCATAGGAAGGAAGATTTTTCATGATAGAAGAACAGTGTTTAAAAGAGATATGGAGATGGTAGCATATACCTATAATCCCAGCACTCTGGGAGGCTGAGGGAGGAAGATCTCAAGTTTGGGCCCAGCCTAAGCAACTTAGGACCATAGCAAGACCTTGTCTGAAAATAAAAAGAACCAGAGATGCAGCTCAGTGTGAAGTCCTTAGGTTCAGTTGCGAGTGCAAAAAAAAAAAAAAAAAAATCAAGGTTTGCGTCATTGAGGTCACATTTTCTCAAAAGCTTTATATTTTTGTCATTTATTTTTTACTATGATACTTTTAAATATGTACAGAGATTAGTGATTACTTCTTGTACTGTTCATTCAGCTTGTATGGTTTCAGGCATTTTAATCACAGAAGAAGAAATGTAAAAGGACAATCACCCACCCAGTGGGTTTAGTGCGACAATGGCAGAGTCTGTGTTTTAATTGCTTATCAGGCTTCTTCATACAAATTTCAAGCCCTATTCAATTTTAGAATTGATGAAAATGCAAATATTGGCACCAAGAACACAGTAACACAATGGGAAACAACTTTTTAATGTTCAAATTGCACAGATTCTCCATGGAGGTTCTGATGCAGTCACTGATCTCGCTTACTAATCATTGCAAAAAGCTGGGCAGAAGTGGGCACACCTGTAATCCCAGCTGCATGGGAGAGGTTGAGGAAGGAGGATCACAAGTGCAAGCCCCAGCCTGGGCAGCTTAGCAAAACTGTGTCTTAGAAGAAAAATTTTAAAATGGCTGGGGATGTAGCTTAATGGTAGAGTATTTACTTAGCATTTACAATGCCCTATGTTTAATCCCCAGTACCCAAACAAAAAAGAGGTAAAAAGTAGAGTAAATAAATTAGGAAACAAAATGGAAGAAGTCAGACACAAAACAAAATTGAACTCAATGGGCTTTTCTTTTTCTTTACCCTTACATTTCTGAAGTTGGAAAAGCAACTATTTTCCTTGTTTTACAGAAGGGAAAGCTCTGGTCCAAAAAAACTATCAGATTATTCATATAATGATAGAGCTAGAAGTAAAACTTGGATCTTCCAATCTGAGGCCAGTCTTCCCAGTAACTCAGATTACTTTCTATAATGAGCAAGAAATAAGTTATTAAAGGTTTATGTCTTGTACATAGCAATTTTTTTTTTTGAGACAGGGTCTTGCTGTGTAGTTTAGGCTGGCCTTGAACTTGTAGTGATCCTCTTGCCTCACCCTCCTGACTGCTGGGATCATAGGCATGCCCCACCACGCCTAGCACTCATCAGTTATTGAAACCAGTGAATTAGCTCTAGAAAGTTTTTCTTTCTTGGGGGCTGGGGATTTAGCTCAGCGGCAAAGCGCCTGCCTGGCAAGCGCAAGGTCGTGAGTTTGGTTCCCGGTACCGGAGAAAAACCAAAAAAAAACAAAACAAAAAAAAGATTTTCTTTCTTAATTATGAAAATCTGGTTTAAATCAGTATATATTCTTTGTATATATGTGTTTTTCTCATAGAAAGTGGTGCTTTCAAAGTCTCTCAAAACACAGAGTTTACTGTATTTTTTACGTTTTTACCACATTGAAATTTTTGAGATTATAGAAGCAAACTGATGTTTTCCTGATGCAGGATCTAGATTTTATTTTCTTTTCCTCCATTTGTGGCTACTGCCCTTTCTTTTCTTTTTCTTCATGCAACTGAGTTCCTTGAAACAGATTAAGTGGTAATTGTATTGAATTCAATTCCAGTAGAAAGGAGGGTGAAGCCAGGCAAGGTAGATTTGCCTCTAATCCCAGAACTCTGGGAGCTGAGGTTGGAGAACTGTGAGTTCAAGCCAGCCTGGGCAATTTAGTGAATTTGTCAAACTTTGTCTCCAAATAAAAATTAAAGGCCTGGAGATATGGCCCAGTGCTGTGGCAGGTGGGGGTGGATAGCAGATCAAATTAGAGCTTTCTTTTGTATTTTTCTCCAAATTTGATTTCTGCCCCCTGTGATCTATCATCTTTCTGTCTCTGAGAAGTGGTTTGGACCCAATTGAAAAAGCTCATATTTATCCATAGAAATGAGTAATCAGCCTGCTATCCAGAGAATATTCTGGACTGGGAATACAGGAAGGGCCAAGATCTGCAAACTTGAAACTGCCAGTAATTCAGAATCACTTGACCACACTCCATAAGTACACGATTTGATATGGATAGGGATGCTTTGAGTCTCTTGGTGATATTTTGGGTGTTTATGTTCCTGTGTGTTTATTTGGAGAATATATTTACACTGAGGGCTCTCTTTTGACCTTATTTATTTAAAATTGTATTTTATTTTTAATGGCATGTGTATATTTTTGTGATGCTAAATGCAATCTCTGTGTATACTTTTTGTATATATGTGTACATATTTGTAAATATATTGGTTGCAGTGATGCAGTATGTGTATATTATACCCATACCCATTGTGGGCTGAATTTATTTAAGTTCTGTGAGGACATCCTAGTGGCATTGTTCATGCTGCTGTAATTAGGTTGTGGCTAGATCACATTCACAAGCCTCTATTTTGAGGGGCTTGTGTTGGGATAAAATGGGCTCATTTAGACTTGGAATTAATAAGACATTAACAGAAAGCTGGACATTCTTAGCTTTAAAATCATTTGCAAACTTCCATTTAAACTGATGATTAATGATATAAACTTGGAAAACCTAAGTATGTGAAACTGAGACACTAACAAGTTCTTAAGCTGTTTTAGTCATTTATTTTCTTGACCCATATTTGAATATTATTATGGAGTAGTAAATTATTTATATTATATTCAAACTGTCAAGGGGCTATGAAAAAATTACTCAAATCACATTCAAAGTAGAAATGTCTTTTAAGTGGGGAAACTATGTTCCTACTTGTCATTTCAATACCTGATAATTTTAATTTTGGAATAAAAATTTATCAATGTGCTTCATTTTATATGTGTCTCTATGAGGCAGAAAAGGGGGCATTAGCTCGTGAAGGCTTAACCTAGGTGGGGTAAGACTTAATGAGGAATAGGCTGTTAGTCTGTATATTTGCAGCAGCTGTGGTTTAGTGCTGTCTTAACATTTCCAACTGTACACTTTTTGTATTGGAATTGCACATCAAAGATGAGTATGCTCTAGCTGGGGCTGTACCTCAGCAGTAGAACACATGCCTGGCATGCTTCAGCCCCTGGGTTTGATCCCTAGCACCACAAAAAAATAAAAATAAAAAAAATAAAGTATGCTCACTCGAGAAAATGTTCCCAGTGAATAAAATGCCTCCAGTTGTATTCCTGATCTCTATAAGACCAATTATGTTTCGCAATTTGACACGATGTAGTTTTTAATATTAGGTGCATGGTATGCTGTAAAAATCTGGGCCTTCAAACCTCTACCAAGGGTAATAGAATTGGGGAGGATACAATTATAGAAAATATGTGCAGTGCCAATTTGTGAATTTATGGGATATTGCAGAGTATCAATGTTTGGCTACTCTTGTCTGCAGTTGACATGTATATTTGCATGAACGATTATAAGAGATGTTTAATATACACTTAGTACATTCACTGCAGAAATTAAGTACAGGTTATTTTTGCATGATAAAGTATAACTGCAAAGTAACTTTTTACCCCATTCTTCTGATTAAATCTATCTGATCCAACATTAAATTATTGTAAAATAAAGTGAGAAATTAAGTCAGTATTACCACCCTCAAATGGTTACATTTGCTGCCCCACTGTATTTTTGGTAACACAGCTAACTATTCGTAATACATTTCAATTACTGTATAGTGTTAAATTTAAAATTATAGGCTTTTTCTAAATATTAAAATGCAGTAGTGTATTATTTCTGATAAATCACTGAAAATGTCCATAGGGTATGATGTTTTGTTTTAGTAACCAAATCATTATTTGCTGTTGTAGAATAGCAGAGCAGATAGTATGCTATCTCAAATTCATAGAACTGACTCAGGCCTGATGTGGACATTAATTTGAGGAAAGCAGCAATAAAGTGTGCATTAGATAAGATTGACACTGTGGATATGACCTTTGACCCTACGGATTGTAAAGACAGTAAATCTGCAGTTGAATAATATAGAAACTGTTGAGAAAACCTAGCCCTGGCCTCCCATTTGTCAGTACTCTTACACAGTGAGACTGTGCCAGGACTCCCAATCTTTCCTGGATACTGGGACCAGTTTACTTTAAAAAAAATAAAAAGTAAATCATTTTTTCTAAGTTAGAATTTGAAAACATACTATATCCCAGCTTCACTGAATTTTGAACACAGAATCTTATTGAAGCATACCTTGTATTTAAGGGAAATGATCTGTGAATGAAAGCAATCACCTATTGACAGGAAAGGTATCAGGAAGGTGTAGAGGGATATGCACTTAACTAGGTGAAGAAATGTATTAAGTATAACTAATTGGCTAGTGCCATAGAAATATTTTCTTTGGATTTCTGTAAATATAAAATGTTTGCTTAAGCTAAAATTGGTATTTTTTACCTATTACTTAAATAGGTATTTTTACCTATTAATTAAATAGGTATTTTTTACCTATTACTTTGGTGTAATATTGACTTTCGAGAAGAATTCCATTTTTACATGATATTGTCACTTAATCAGTACCATTTCCTAATTTTAAAATATTTCTGTTATTTTTTATGGTTTTTAAAATTATTTTTAATCAGACCACTCTAAGTGTTTTTCTTAGAAAACACAATTGAACAGTAGATTCAGAGTTTTCTGATAGTTTGAAGCACATTATATTACATATTCACTTAGTCAAGCCTGAATATCATCATAGAACAGACTGTACATTGGGAGTATTTTCCTATTTTAGGGGACAATTCCAGTCTATATCCTAAGACAATCATATTATTTAGGTGTAATATTGTTGTAAAGACATTGGTAATTTTAGGTTTTACGTTTTTATTTTTCTCATAGGCTTGTGGAATGAAAATGATAGGCCACATTGTCACTTTTTGACATAAATAATTAAGGCTAGCTTTCTTATAGGTCTGCAGTAAAAGGTATTTAAATTTTTATGTATATCACTAGTATTTTCTCACTTGAAACTGTTGTGAATGTCCACTTGTCTCTGATCAAATTTGAGATTTGTAAACATTACAATTTGAACCATAAATTTCCTCAGACATCAAAGCAGTATGAGTAACTATTGTAAAATATGAAATGATATATGATAATCCCCAAGTAAATATTTCCAAACTATGGAGAAATAACCACTGTATTTTTTCAAAATCCTATTCCTACCCTCTTTTGCATGCTATTTTTTTTCTAAATTAAAAATATGCAGGAAAAATTGCTTAAATTAGCACTGTAAGAATTTTTAGTAATATTTCCTGAAGAATGGGTTGTCTTTAACTCTCATTTATTATAGCATTATTAAAATGACCTCTTAATAGTTCAGTAAAATAATTTAGAACTTGAGTTTTATGTCTTTTTATAGTTACCTGAATGCATTCCTTTTGCCAAATAGACCATATCATTAGTTTTCCAACCATTTTTTGTTTTTAATAAACCTTGCTGTTCAATTATCAGAGAGTCCTATGTTTTGCAGGATTCTTCTAGTTGAGGTAGAAAGGTCTTAGATAATAGCAAAGGGAAATACAATGTCCTAACATTTCCACAGTAGAGGTTACACATGAAATTTGTCCAAATAGGTTATCTCATTTGTGTAGGTCCAGTATAAATAGTGCTTGCATTAATCAAATCAGATAAAGCAGTTACAAATCATTTTTTACTTTGCTCCAAAGATTTTTGTAATTTCAGGCCACTTTAGCATTTTCTCTGAAATGTTTCCATTGTAAGGTTGACTATCCTTTTTCTTTATTCAAAGCATCACAAAAAGTCAAATAGGAGTTAAAATAAGTTGATTTTTTTTCCCCTTGAAAATAATGGTGAACCTATTGTCTGTATTGTGATTATTGGGCAAAAATGCACTTGTTTAAATCATAGCAGAAATTACACTTGTTTAAATCATAGCAGAAATTACATATGATTACTTTTTAGTGGTGTGAAATATTTTTTAAAAATTGTGCTTGTAACTGAAATGTTATAGAACTGTAACATGATAGGGACTGTAGAGTTATATTAGCTCTCTTCAAGAGATTGAAGCACAATTATTTTCATGTAACAATCCTTATCCAAGTGCTGCTAATCTGTCATGCAAATAATGAAGCTACTTGGTTGCCTATCTAGCTATTCACTGATCACTAATCTTGGAGACATAGTCTCGTTCATTTGTATTAGTTTGGGTATTGTGGGTTAATACTTTAGAACAAGATTCATCAACTCAGCTCTGTTAGTAAATCACTTGGTTTTATTAGATTTTATATGTGTTATCAGTAGAATAAATTTTGAAGGGGCTACTTATTACCAATGACTGTGGGGAAATTATATTGTTAGTATCACTTGAACATTTGTGATGTTGTAAAGTCTTGTCTGTTGGTGTTTCTCAGTTGCTTAAGCCATACATTGTCTTAAACAGGATTTTTTTGTTTCGTTCCTCTCCAGCAGTCTTTCTGCTTTGTTATGGTTAATACTTAATAGATTTTAGAAATTGAAAGGTTCTTGAGACATTTTATTTTCTGGAGTTCATCACATCTGGCTCTTATTTGATATGTAATTTGTTGTAAAAGATAGCAAGCCGCTTTCACTACTTCACTAAATGAATTTCAAAGTAAACACTGTGATTCTGCAGAGCAGATGCGGTAGGTAGGCTTTCCAGTTGTGTTTTCTTTTTTCCTATTACACAGTGCCTATCACCTTGAGGGCACTTAAATACTAGAGGAAGAAAAGTTAAAACGTTTCGATGTTTGTTAACATAAGATTACAGAATCTTTTGTTGTCAGTGTATTAAAGCAATTTTTGCATTGATAAATGTTCTCTAGGAATGTGACTACATTCATCAGGTGTGAACTCTTGTAAATGAATTTTGTATCTTGAATCCACGTATATATTAAGTGTATCATCAATATAAAAATAAACATTATTTGCTTAAAGTGTCGGGTACTTCAGTATTGTTGGCAAACTAAGGGCTATACTGTCACGTTTTGCGTCTTTCAGATGATGCCTCAGATAAATTGCACAGTTTTACGGGTTGTGGATTCCATGCTTATTTTAGTTTCTGGATTTCTTGTGCGTCCTGATTTCGACTTTTCCCTTTCCTCCTCTTAGTGGTAAGAACTGGGATGCTCCGAGGGAGTGACTGTTGAACAATCGGATGGAATCGGCTGACCCTCTTACTGCTGTTTGGTGAGGGACAAGTTCTTTAAAACAGAGTGGGTGGCTTGGGCTTGAGGAGCCGGGAGATCTGACTTAGATTACAAAATTGCAGTGTGACTTTGAACGAGGCAGTTTTTCCTCTTTGAACTTAATTCCTTTGTCATGTGGAGGTAGCCCCGGTGGGTAGTTCACGTAGTGAGCTGCCCGCCCCATCCTGGTTTTAAATGGCGGTGTATCAGGGTGCATTACATAACCAGGGGAAGGGTCTGGAAACTTTCAGTTGTACAGTGTGTGTACTGGGTTGCGATATAAAACATAACCGACAGGAGATCCTAGACACAAAAGATAAAACACTAGTCACAACTGGAAAACTGCCGGTTCTAGCTTCTGTAGGTACAGGCTTCCCAGGATTGCCACTACAGACTGACGAGCGGCTGCCCAGGGAGCAGACAGACGGGGAGGCGGGATGGCGCCACCATCCGGGAACAGCTCACGTTAGCCTGGGGCACCGACTGCCACGGGGTTCTTCCCATTTCTGCCACTTTGTATCACCCACTTAAAAGGGATGGCTGAAATGTTTGGGCGGTCCGCTCGCTGACGTGGCTAGCTCGCCTGCGGGACTCACCGGACAGGTACCCGCATCCGCCCGCAGTTCAAGTCCAACTACCTCCGGAGCCTCACGTAGCGGCGACGCGGCGCACATCACGCATGCGCCCGGCCTGCCAACCCCGCGCAGCCACTTCCGGCGCGCTGAGAACTTGCGGTTCCGGGTCGCTTCTCGGATCCCGGGCGGGTGGTGGGGGCTGGTTTGATGCTGCCTGGCGCTAGTGCGAGGCCCGGGAGGCGGGGCTCTGCCGGCTGCCCACAGAGCGGCAGGTGCGCGGGCTGGGGTTCCGGGGACGTAAGCAGCCACAGTTCTCTCGGTGGCTTCTGTCCCCCAAGCGGTGTAGACCGGGTTGCCCAAGACCCCAAGCGGGGGTTGGGGGGGACCGGGTGCTGAAAAAGCGACGGTGGGGACGGAGGCGGGCAGCCCCGGCCTGGGAATCTGGAGCCTGGCGTTCCGGATCCTCCCTGCGCGACCTTGGATAAGTCGGTCCTCACTGGAGCTCAGTTTTCTGCCTGTCAAGTTAGAGATGTCGGACACCCGGTCTCCCCCGAGCCTTTGACTGTTCAAGCAAGGGCGTGGCTAGAGGGAGTGGGATTCAAACTGCCCTGCTGGCAAGGGACCTTCGGACGTTAGGCATCTGCCTTTTACTCAACTTTGCCGTCCTTTTTCTCAGCGGCTGTGTTAAGACGAATCAAGATTATGAACAGACAGCCCAGGGTCTGGCCAGGTAAACAGCCTATGTGTGGACGTTAACAGAAATAAATTCCAGCCCCGGGAAACCTTAATCTCATTCAAGTTATTTTGTTCAGGGTTCCGTGAAGAAGTGAATTTAGGCATCTCCTGCAGTGAGTGATTTTATTTTATGTCTCTGTAAGTGAAGCTCTTAGATCACAAATTCATGGAAGATCAGGAAGAGGGAGGATAGCCCACTGAGAGTTACGGTGTTGACAAGTTTTCTTTCCCCACTTAATCCTGGCTCCCTCCTCTTTCTCCACTTGTCACTTCCATCCCACATTGTGGCTTTACACTTGAAATGTCCAATCCATTTTATCTTTGTCTTCATACAGGGCAGAATGCACTGACATCCAGGCTGTTTTAGAGCTAGTAGATAAGCCAGGTGAGTAAGAGATTTACGGACATGGAAGGTAAAGCTTTTGAAAAATTTAACAAATGTAATGGGTGATTTGAAGGAGTAAGAAATCATCTGTAGATCTTAAAATTTAGGTCTCCTCCACAAAAACATGGAAAGTTAAAATTGGAACTAGAATGTCAGTGTTTATATTCACTATCAGGGAGAAGAGATGTTTTGAATCTTACGTTAAATATCATGTCAAACATTCTGAAGAAAATAATTTTTTTTTTTTTTTTTGTATCGAGAATTGAACTCAGGACCCTGCACTTGCCAAGCAGGTGCTGTGCCACTGAGCTATATCCCCGGCCCTGAAGAAAAGAAATTGTGTTTGGGGTCATTGTATCAAAATGAAAGCAAACCACCGAGCAATTTCATGAAAGATTAAAAGATACCTGATAGGTACCAGTTTATTGTAATTGAGTAGCTTGCCTGTTCTTTTGTAGGTTATAATTTTTTTTCCTAGGAAACAGCTGATTGCAAAACATCTGGAACATTAGAATGTTACACCTTTTCCTCACACTGAGTGACATATGTTTGAAATGCCTTAACTTTGACTAAACTTACTACTGTGGGGAAACATTAAGTCATGATTTTGTAATGTTAACCTGAAAACTTTTACCACATGTGTTATATGCCGGTGTGGTGTAATTTTTTTTAAAAAGTTGCGATTTGTGAATCAGAGAGTTTTGTATTCAGACACTAGCCCTGCTACTTACCCACACTGTCACTGGCAGGTTTTTTCACCTCTTTGACAGCTGCATTTCCTCATGTCTCTGTGCAACTGAAGCACCTGAGTGCTTTGTAAATATTAAGTAATTGTATTCTATTAAGTACACATTTAAGTTGCAAAACTTAATTTTGAAACCTGAAGTTTAACAAGTCAGGTGTGAAATCCTTGTAAATCAGTGAAATCCTTGAAATCCTTGTAAATCAGTGTTTAACGTAGAGCTGTTTCTTTCATCTGATTCATAGATACTGTGTTGCCATAGACCTGGGTCCACATTTAAGTGGAAATTCATCTAACTTGGGTCTCTGAAACATTTTAGACACCAGTATCTGATCCCAGTCCCTGAGGATTACTGCAGTAGTTCAAAAGCTTGTCTTTGGTGCAGAATAGCCATACAGCAAAAATGTTTGCAAAATTAAAGAAGAAAATTGCAGAAGAAACTGCTGTGGCTCAGAGGCCAGGAGGTGCTACTAGGATCCCACGGTCAGTGAGCAAGGAATCCGTGGCATCAATGGGAGCTGACTCAGGAGATGACTTTGTAAGTATCCTCTCCAGTTTTGAATATTTGATGATCTCAATGTACTTTTTAAGTAATATTGCAGTGAATACTTTCAGTAAATATTTTTAAATTGTATGATTATGTCATGCCTTTTGTAGTTTATAGCAGGATAAGACCCTGCACATCTGCTTCTGTACTCCTTTTATTAGGAGACTTTTTGTCAATATTTGGTTTTTTAGGGGGCTGGAGATTTAGCTCTTCGACACAGCGCCTGCCTGGCAAGTGCGAGGTCGTGAGTTCGATTCTTGGTACCGGGGTGGGGGGGGAATGTTTGGTTTTTTAATGCTTAAAGTAGTTTTCTTTTTCTTTTCCATGAATCTTTTCCCATATTCTGGACATTGTCCGTTGTATTATCTTCCATCTATACAGATTGTGCTTCTTTTAAATTTCAGTCTTTCAAAGTGTCTGGGCTTAGTTTTTCTCCAGGCACATACATTTTTAAGTCATTATTACTTAATATGGCCTGTGATTTGTGGCATGGTATTAGCCAGACACACTGTTCTATTGGACAGATTCATTGATGGCACCAATAACGAAAGTATGTCACCTTGTTTGTAAAGTGTCTTTGTGTTTGATAAGATTTTAAAAAGTGAGAATGCTGTTATATTAGGGAAATAGTGTGTTTAGGGATTAAAATGTGTCTTTGGCATACAGCAGCATCTTTATAATTTAGATGACTTTAAAAATCATAATAATTTTATATATATAAAGGACCAGGGATATAGTTCAGTGGCACAGCACCTGCTGGGCAAGCATGAGGTCCTGAGTTTGATTCCTGGTAAAAATAATAATAATAATTTATATATATATATATATTTATATATATATATAGTATGTGAAGTCTAAAACATACAGTAAATTTGACACCCATCCAGAGAAATAAAACATTATCAATATTGCTGAAGCCACTTACAATTTTCTCCCTTCTGGATAATCCCATCCTATATTTAGTGCTCATCAGTCCCTTGGGTTTTAAAACGTCTTAACAGACACGTTGCATTTGTAAACAATTTACTGTTTAATACTGCTTATGTTTGAACTTTACAAAAATGGTAAATCTTAAGTCTTCTTGTACTTAATCTTTTTAACTCAACATGTTTCCACAAAACGCCTGTGTTCCGTGAAACTGTGGTTCATTTATTTTTACTGCTGTGTAAGATCCCAGCATTTGAAAAGGCCGTAGTTTGTCTCTGTCTCTTCCTAGTGATAGACATATGAGTTGTTTCTGTGGTCAGATGACTCCTCCTCTCCTCCTTTCTTTCACTATTTAAATCCCAGGTCATGTTACATGGCAGAGCTATTAGGTTATTAAAGTGGAGCAATAAGATGACAAGATCTAGATTCTCTTGGCTTCTATATTTAACAGCAAATATAAGTGAACCTTTGATCACCAAGCTCGAGAATATCATTTTCATGTTGAGTTGCAGAGCAGAAGGGAAAGCAAATCTGATCCTCATTCCCAGTGGCCAGACCCTTATATCCAACTACATGTGCTTCTCCAAACACATACCTTCCCTGTGGCATCTCAGATTCTAAATGAACAACACTGAATTCAGTAACTTCATCTCTCAGTTGCATCTTCATCTTCCCAAGTCACCAACCAGAACCAATGGAGGCTTTTAGAATCCTTCTTTCCTTTCTTACTGGCTAATCAGTCAAAAGTGCTAAGGAATACCCCAGCCCTTTTATATTTTATTTTGAATCAGGATCTTGCTGAGTTGCCCAGGCAATGCTCAAACTTGTGACCCTTCTGCCTCAGCCTCCCAGATAGCCAATATTAGCCATAACATCATTGACACTTCTTCGAATGCAAATGATGCAAATATAGATCTACATGGTTGATCAGAATGATTCCAGCAAACTGTATAGATTCTATGATTTTATATCATTTGAAACCAAATAAAATATATATATAAAGTCAACATGGTAGGAGAGGTCCCAGTTGCTCCAGGACTGCATGGAGCCCAGGCAGTGTTTAACAGTCTGTGATTCCACATTTACATGCAGTCTATAAAAAGCTTTAACTGGTGAACTGTTGAAGTGTATGTGGTTTTAGTGAGTGCCTTGCCACACCTTTGCCTTGGCTGTCTTTCTCTTGTGGACAAATGTAGCTCCTTGCTTCCAACAGCTCCCCAAAATGATATTTCTAAAAGCAGATCTGTTTTTATTTCTTGGTGTTAAAAACTCAGTGGCTTCCTTGCCACTTTCAGGATGCTGTGCAAGCTCATTCTAGTGTGACGGTAAGCTGCCGTGGTCTTCTCACAGCTTACCTGCACAGCCTCATCTCACTTAACTTTCTTATAACCTGTACTTAGAGCCAGATTGAATTTATTGAACTTCCTGGAATGGACCATATTACTTCCTGCCCACAAATGTTTTCCTCTGCGATTATTCTCTCTGGACTATCTCCTGTATTCCACGCCTGTATTCCTGTGAAATACTCTTGTGTACCCTTCAAGACTCAGCTCAGTTGTGATTCCAGGAAGACTCCTTGACCCGGCCCTTCTCACAGCGAGTGTAGTGCTTTGTCTTCTGCTCACCTCAGTACAGTGCATTATGCTGCGTTAGTAGTGACACCTAGCTGATGGTCTCTACCACTGAAAATGGGAGTTTCATGAGAGGCAATGAAGTAAAGCCTTTAGGAACTCAGTCAGGATATAGGGTCAGACCTGGGTCATTATTGCGTGACTTTGCACTAATTCCTTCATTTTTCTGTGCCTTCATTCTACACAGCTGTAAAGTAAGGGTAGGAACTATATCTGTCTTTATGAAAATATGCATGTCACCCCAGGTTCAGTTATTCACTAGAACTCCCAAAGCTCAGTGTATACTTTCAGTTGTTATCATTTATTACAGTGGACAGCTGCAAAGCACAGTCCGAAAAGAGAAGAGTGTATAAGGTAAAGCCTGGAAGAAACCAGGCCGAAGCTCCAACTTCTGTGGTGTTATATAGAACATGCTTAACTCCCACAGCAAGGAATCGTGACAAAACGTGTATAATGGGAAGCCCACTAAAAACTTAGTGTCCCGAGTTCTTACTGGGAGCTGGTGGTGCAGACATCTTCTGCATAACATGTACCCTGATTCCAGATTCCACAAGAAAAGGAGTGCTGGGATTGCAAGCGTGAGCCACCATACCCTGCTAAAATCATTCGTTCTTGTCAGGAATGGTAGAAACCCTCCAAAAATCTCAGTTCCTAGATGCCAGTCCAGGACCAAGCTTACAAGAAGACTTTTCTAAGGGTAGCAGTCTGCAATGTTAATCTTTTTCATAGTATATAAAAGACTCAGCATAGTGCCTGGGTCTTAGGGAGCATTTCATGATTACAGTAGTTGCTGCTGTGGCAGCTGTTCTAATGAGGGCCTCTTTATTTCACCACTATTACTAATGTTTACACAATGCTAAGGCTCACCAACAGTAATGATTGTAACTTCTTACACTATTATTGCTATGGTCTGAATGTTTATTCCCCCTCCATGCTTCTCTAATGTGTTGGTGTTAGGAGGTAGGACCATTGAGTGTTGATTAGATCATGAGTCTGGAGCCCTCAGGTTTGGGATTAGTGCCCTTATAAAAGAACCTCATACTGCTGACTTGCCCCTTCCACCATTTAGGGTACAGCTAAGAGGTGCCATCTGTGACCCAGAAAGTGAGCCCTCCCCAGACACTGAACTTGCCAGCACCTTGATTTTGTACATCCCAAGATGTACAAAACTAGAACTGTGAACAATAAACTTCTGTGGCTTATAAACTTTCCAATTTAAGGTATTTTGTTATAGCAGCCTGAAAAGATTAAGAGAACTAGCAATGGATGACACATTGAAACTACTAATGGGCCAGGGATATAGCTCAGTAGCATAATTGCCTGCCTGGCAAGCGCAAGGTCCTGAGTTCGATTCCCAGTACCCAAACAAAAAAAAAAGGCAACCTTTCGCGGGCATGGTGGCGCACCCCTGTAATCCCAGCACTCGGGAGGCTGAGGCAGGAGGATCATTGTGAGTTTGAGACCAGCCTGGGCCACAAAGTGAGCTCAAGACCAGCCTGAACTGCATAATGAAACCCTGTCTCAAAAAGACCAAAAAAAAGAAACTACTAGTGTACCATGCTCCTTTTTATAAATTTGACAAGTATTGATTTATTTAATCCTCATCACAGCTCTGTGAGGGAGATAGTGTTCGCTTTTACAGATTAGGAAAGCAATAACCAGGGAAGTTGAGTAATTGGCTCAGGTTCTTACAGTTTATAAGCAGTGAAAACTGGAGGTGGTGGTGCATGCTTGTAATCTCAGCACTCAGGAAAATAGTAACTTCAAGCCCAGCCTGGGAAATGTAGCAAGATCCTGTCTCAGAGAGGGTAAGATAACTGAGTGCAAAGCACTGGGTTTGGCCCCCAGTACTACCAAAAAAAAAAAAAAAAGGTAATAAAACTACAATTTAAACCCAGGTATTTTGACCCTAGTCTCTATTCTTACCTCAGTAAATATTGAGCAGGCAAGGAAGCTGCTGGACCAGTTAATAAATATTTCAAGTGAATTGGAGCCAGGTGTGGTGGCCCACACCTATAATCCCAGCATTCAGGAGGCTGAGGCACAAGGACCACAAGTTTGAGGCTAGCTTTGACTAAATAGTTATTTCGAGGCCAGTCTGGACTATGTAGTGAGACCCTGACTCAAACACAGAACAAAAAAAATGAATTGAAACTGTTCAACCACTGTAAAACAATTTGAGGGATAAAATGGAGAAGTGTGATTGAAGAGTGGGTATTAGATGGTATTTTAGGGGCTGGGGATTTAGCTCAGCGGCAAAGCGCCTGCCTGGCAAGCGCAAGGTCGTGAGTTCGGTTCCCGGTACCGGAGAAAAACCAAAAAAAAAAAAAAAAAGATGGTATTTTAAATTTTGTTAGCTGTAATAATGATATTGTGGCTATGAAGAAAAATTTCCTTATTTTTTATAAATGTCTATCAAAGTATTTGGGATGAAATATCATACCTGTTATTTTAATTACTTCTCAATGTAAGAGTTGATGAAGCAAATGTAAGAAAGCACTGGTAATTGTTAAATAAGAATGTTCATTAAACCTTTCTTCCTTTAATAAAAAGTTAAACAGTTTTTAAAATGAGTTATTTATGAGCAGTGATAATTATTGCCCAAAGCAATAATGCTACCCATAAACTTTTTTAAAATTTTTATTTCTCTTAGTATATGTTGCAGTACATAATGATTACATTCATCTTGGGAGTTGGTACATGTACATAACAACACATCTTAACCCATAAGTTTTAAACAACTCTGAGTTGATGGAGAAAATAGATGTCTCATTAAAGTGTTGATTCACTGAATGCATGTTATCTGTGAAAGTCTTTGATGGCTTTTAGAGGTTTATGTTGATATCATTTTAATTAATAGATGAAGATACTAAAACTTCATCAGTATCAGGGTGGATTCTTAGGGCTGGGGATATAGCTCAGTGGCACAAGGGCCTGCCTGGTAAGTGCAAGGTCCTGAGTTCGATTTCCAGTACCTAAAAAAAAGGATGGATTTCTAATCACAGGCAAGACTTTGATCCCTTGTTGAAAAACTTTCCCTCTTTATCCCAGGATTTTAACCTTTTGAAAGATAATGTAATTCTTTTTCATTTTCTCCTGTTTCATGTTACTTGGTATAATATATTTCTAGTAAATTGATTTACTACCATTTATTTCAATAGCACACATATATGAATTTTTTTAGTATTACCTTTCCCATTCTAGAGGGATATAATGTCACTTCTACTATTGCAGTAGAAGAGCTAGGGCCATTTAAGCCTTTCAGTGATCACAATTACTCAAATTATAATCAAACTTAAAATAAGAATTATCTATTTCTAGTTGATGGGTACTGCAATCTCCCACTGCTGGAAACCCTTGTGTGACTCTAACCTCTCCCCTGTCCCAACAGGCTTCTGATGGAAGTAGCTCTAGAGAGGATCTTTCATCCCAACTTTTGAGAAGAAATGAACAGATACGGAAGTTGGAGGCCAGACTTTCTGGTATGTCTAGAAGTCGTAAATAGTAAACAGGAGCCTTGCCTTCTTTGACTGTCTCTAAAAAACAGCTGAATAGGATAACTGTACACTTATTCTGATACGACATTTTGATCTTCTCAGTCAGCAATCTGCTTACTTCCTTTGTTGCCTTTTTTTTTTTTTTTTAATTGTGCTGAACAGTGTAAATTCAGGACTAAATTTGAAGGTTTGTTCTTAAAAACTTCTTATTCTTTTGCTCCTAAAATATCTAGCCATGGTGTTAAACATATATCTAGATAGTTTTCACCATCTTCCACCATTAACATACTTCCTTTATTTTTGGAAATGGCCAACAGATGTTGGTTTCATTAGCCCCAGAGAGGGTTTAATGCTAACTTGCCACTTGCTCTAGCTGATGTCTCCCGTGGAAGTGTCGTTGTGGGTCTTTGGGCCACATTTCAATGGTATTTCTAAGTTCAACCCTCCCTTCTCATAGAAGCTGTAACTCTCATAATATCTTTATGTATAGTTTACAGTTTACACCACTCCCATTATATCCATTGCCTGAGCAAGGCATGGTTATAATAGAATTGTGAGTTCTTACTTTGGTATCTGCTAGTGGATACATTTTTGACAGCTTCATCCTGTGAAGTGGTCCATGGTGCCTGTGTGTCGTTTTATTCTTTGGCTTTATGCCTATTCTATGAGAATAAAAGCAGTAGACCAAAATTCCCCAAATTGTAAGTGAAATACATATATTTGTTGTAGCTCTCAAAGGAAACGTAGCATAGTTCACAACTGTCAGTTAAATCATTTTGTCTTAAGTATATCCTTGCTAGGCTTAGCAAAGTTTAGGTTAAACAAGTTGTACGTGGTAGAGCTGGGAGCCTTGATGGTACTGAAGTGTACACTCTTACAGTTTTCTTCAAACTCAGTTGTTACTGTCCTGTTAGTTCTACCCATAAATGATATCAGTAATAGTGATGAAATTACACAGCCAGGCTGAGACAGGAGGATCACAAGTTTGAGTCCAACCTGGGTAATTTAGCAACATACTGAGACCCTGTCGCAAATAAAAAAGGCTAGGGGTGTGACTCTGTGCAAAGGCTGTGGATTCTACCCCCAACCAAAAAAATAAATTATTTATATTTTTCTAACATTAGGAAGTTAATTCTAAAGTAATCTGTACCTGCCCTGATACCAAAAGGACAGTTGGGTTTGACTTATGTTATGAAGGGGACAGAGAAGAGAGCCGTCATTTATTCAGTCCACCTGAATAAATGGGTCTTGTCCTATAGGCTTATGGGTCTTGTGGGTCTTGTCCTATAGGGTTGTTATAAATAATAACAATAACAGCTACTTATTAATGAGCTCTACACCAAGCACTTAAGGCATATATAATACTTTATTGTCTAATGGATTCTTGGGAGTAGGTACAATTAATATCATTATTTCATAAATGAAGAAACTAGTATTCAGGATCAATAATTTGCTTATGGTCCCCAGCTAAGGACTGCCAGGGTTCTGTCTGCTTTTTCAGTATACCATAGTGCCATCTTCTTTGGCCATCCACATAATTAATTCTGATTTTCACCTTTGCTATGCTATAGGTAACTCAGTTCCTGTGTAGAAAGGGAGCTCACTTGTGTAGAGAATTAAGTACCTTCACCTTTAAAATGATACCATGCTAAGGTGTTTACTATTTTTCTAAACACTGTTGCTCAGTTCTGTGGATTATAAGTGAGCTTTTATTTTATTGATTCTTTTTCTACTCCTTAAGCCAAAAGGGAAGGTAAACACTGAGACTTGAAAATAAGTGATGAGATAATGTATTTTTCATAGGAGGGCATTTCTCATGATCAGGGCCAGACTAATTCCACTTCTGTGACATGGCTGAACAAATCTGCCTGTTTGTATTTGCCACTTGTACCATGAACAGTTTGTACTATACCTGTCTGCCTGTGTCATTCATTGTTAGTAGGAGGCTGTCTGCCTAGCTTTCCTTAACAGGACTTAAGTTGAAAAAGTCATTGTCATTCTCACTCATTTTTTTTGTTTAATTAACTTCCTTTCCTGATGTTTGTCCATTCCTGGTTATGTGCGTCACCCTCCTCACCCAAGACTATGCTGAACAGGTCCGAAACCTGCAGAAGATAAAAGAGAAGCTTGAAATTGCATTAGAAAAACACCAGGATTGTACGTACTTTTTTCCTGCTTTTTTCAATCTTTTTAGGGTTTAGTTTTTTAAATGAAGCAATTAAGTATCATCATCAGAGCTCTTGTCATTATTTTATAGTGTACTGGTTAATTAGCTTGATATGATATTTGCTGGACATTTATTAAGCATATGGCTTGTATTTATCTTGTTTTGTGGGCATGCTCTGTGGAGGGGTCACTGTGTACATCAGTTTGCTCTATCCAGCTGACCCACTTGTTGGCTGCCCGTAGGTGTAGTAAAATGTAGTGCACGGCTCTTGAGTCTAAGCTAGCAGATAGTTTCTAGCTACAGCCGTGTTACTGCTGTGTTGAGAACTGGAGGAAGGCTCTGTTATCACTCCTCCAATAATGGGACATTTTGCTTAATGTCCCCTGAATTATGTGTTCTCTTTTGGGCACTAGCCAAGAAGGGTACTAATGGGAACAGAAAGTCATTTTTTGTTGATATATTCCAAAGTTTGTTTAAAGAAAACTACAGATAGCTGTTTTTATTTTTCCTTGTTTAGATTTTTGTTTTGTTTTTAATGGTGGTGAAGGAGTAAGAGCTGTCACTTAGCACTAGCATTGGTGTTTGCTGGCAACCTACCTTAAGTATTTTGTCATACATTTAAAAATTACATTTTGGATTCTTAAGTATGTGCATTTCACTATTACAGAAAACAAAAATAATCAGGAACCAAACAAGCAAACATATCTGTGGTCTATTACCAAGCCCAAGGGGTTCTTTTGGAAAGTCAAGATGGAGCAGGTTTTTCTCGGTCTCATAGTCTACTTACGTGACCTTAGCCTTTTGTGTTTGGTGATAGTTGTAATAGCATAAACTGTCATGCTGTTTCTGCAGTATTTCCATATCTCAAATAGAGCCTCTTTGTTAACAGCTTCCATGCGGAAATTTCAGGAGCAGAATGAGACATTCCAAGCCAACAGAGCCAAAATGGCGGAAGGATTGGCTTCAGCATTAGCCAGAAAGGACCAGGTATTTTACGTTAGCTGAAAGCAGGTATCACTGTTTGGTGCCCTCCTTAGTGAGTATCTGCAGGCCTATATTTGCATTCTAGACTCTCTTCTCCTTTGAGGAGTTTTAGTTTTATTAATATTAAGCCAAGTTTGTGGGGATTTTGTGTTGTTATTGTTGTTTACATGTGGTTTTTTGGATTTGTGGGGGGCATTGCTTGTTTGGTTGTTTTAGGGTGAGAGTTGGATTGTTTTTGTTTGTATTCTTCCCTGGAAACTACTTTTTGTTATTTTGTTTTGTTTTAGGAATGGTCAGAAAAACTGGATCAGCTAGAAAAGGTTAGTTCATCTTTATGTGTTTTCTCATTCATGTTCATTTCATTTCTGGATCTTGGAAGCTGTTTTCCCCAGTAACTAGTGCACAGTGCTGACGGTGATCACGCCTCCTGAGACCAGGCCACTGGGTGATTAGGTGCTGGCTTGGACGTTATCTCTTTTGGACTTTTTTCCCATCCCATTACACTGATAAATCATTTTATTAATCCATATGCAAAACAGCTAATTTGAATCTGCCCTCTTTTTATTGCTGGGACCCTTACTGAACTGTGGTAACATTAGGAATACTTCTTAGCTGGGCCTGGTGGCACATGCCTGTAATCCCAGCACTCAGGAGGCTGAGGCAGGAGGATCATTGCAAGTTTGTGACCAGCCTGGACTATAAAGTGAGCTCAAGGCCAGCCTGAACTGCAAAGTGAGACCCTGTCTCAAAAAAAAAAAACAGGAATACTTGTTGACAAAGTAGTGGGAAATGAGCATTTCTCAAGGCTCAGCGTTCAGCAGATAACAGAATTTCTTATTTAGACACAGAGGAGGGAGACTGATGATTCTAAAACCATAGCTTGTATAACAGTGTATAGGTGCCTTAGATAAGCCCCCAGGTATGAGCCAGAACATGAAATTCAAGCCCATAACTGGAAAAACAGTTTATTATTTTTTTTAAACTTTCCCCTACTAACTTTTTTTATTTTTATTTTTTTGGTACTGGGAATTGAACTCAGGATCTTGCACTTGCCAGGCAGGCGCCTGCGCCACTAAGCTATATCCTTGACTCTAAGAAAAACACTTTAAAATAAGCAATAGTCGACTCTCTCAGCACCAGTTGTATGCTGCTACCTAATTTTTTCCTTTGAGTATTCCTAAATTGCTGTTCATGGTATTTCAGATATTTCTTAGATTGATATAATTGGTTCCAAAGTATATTTATCATAATTTTTTAATCAAATGAGTTTTATTATTGCTCCCTTCTTTCCATAAAACAAGTAAAGCCAGGGATTTCCTTTGTGTGTTCCATAGAAGTCTGATATCAAGCTGTCAGAATATGTTAACATTTTTTGTTAGGAAAAAATATTTAACGTTCAAGCTCCAAAGAAACTTGCACTAGCCAAGTATATAGCTCAGCGGCAGAAGTGCCTGCCTGGCAAGCCTGAGGTCATGAGTTCAATTCCCGTTACCAAAAAAAACAGAAAGAAAGAAACTTGCGCTTGAAAAAAATTTCCTCAAACTATTCTGTTTATGATGCTTTTCTCAAATATAGAAATGAGTCAGGGTAAGGTTTTCTTGTCTCAAAAGAGACCCTAAAGTTGTATCAGTTCAAATTCTCAGTGAACTGTTTATCATTTAGAATTGTGGAAAAGGTGATTCATGTTGGACTGGACCAAATAAAACCTACCTTAGCTTACCGACAGTTTTGTTTTGTTTTTTCAGATGAGAAGTTGGGGAAATATTTTAGATCAAGAAAGAGTAATGAGGGGGCTGGGGATTTAGCTCAGCGGCAAAAGCGCCTGCCTGGCAAGTGCAAG